AAGTGACCCCAAAACCGGGGTTGGGGTCCCCTGAGATCACAAAAGCAACTCCTTAATCCTGCCTGATCCTTGTTAATTCATTCATTCAATTAATCAATTAATTAATTAATTAGGGTGGGCTCTGTGTATCCAGATCCCAACTCCCCCTTTCCAGGCAGGAAAAGGCCCCAAAAAAGCCTCAAATTAGTAAAAAAGCAGCACTTTGGGTCCAACTGGAGCTGGTGGGCGGGAAACTCCCCGTTAAACCTCTCATTTAATTAATTACTGGGTTTAATTAATGACGGGACATTCCGGAGATCCCCAGGGGGACGTTAATCATCCCCCACACCCTAAATTTACCCATTTTGGGTTTTTTTGGGGGAGAGAACTGGGGGGTCTTTGAACCCTGAAGTTGAGGAACGTCCCATCTTCCCCCCCCCAAATTCCCCCCCGAGGACTCCGACGGGAGTTTTTTCCCTTTTCCCGGGTTTTTGTCCCCAGAATTCCGTCCCCAGCCCCCCCCCCAAAGTGCCAGGAGGGGGCTGCAGCTGCACCAAGCGCCGTTTATTGTGGGTTTTGGGGTGAATGGGGGCGGTTTTGGGGTCAGCGGGTGCCGATGGTCACCTGCCACACCCGCACCAGGTTGTCGGTGTAGCCGGCGAAGAGGGTCTGGGGAGGGAAAAGGGGGGGTCAGGGGGGGGGACCCCAAAACCTGGGGAAGGGGATCCCCAACCCCCTGAGAGCCCCCTGGGGAGGGGAGGTTTGGGAAGGGAAGGGTCCCCAAACCCTCGTCCCCCAAATCCAGGGTCCCCAAATCCTTGTCCCTCACCCCTCTACATGGGGATCCCCAAACCCTCATCCCCCATATGGAGGATCCCAACCCCCCATCCCCCATCCCAGTGTCCCAACCCCTCATCCCCCATATTTAGGATCCCCAAACCCCCCATCCCCATATTTAGGGTCCCCAATCCCCATCCCCCATATTTAGGGTCCCCAACCCCCCATCCCAGTGTCCCAAACCCCCCCTCCCCATATTTAGGGTCCCCAATCCCCCATCCCCCATATTTAGGATCCCCAAACCCCCCATCCCCATGTTTAGGGTCCCCAACCCCCCCATCCCCATATTTAGGGTCCCCATCCCCATATTTAGGGTGCCCCTGTCCCCTCACCTGCCCGTCTGCCGACCAGGCCAGGGACGTGCACTGGGGCGGCTCCGCTTTGCTGCTGGTGCTGATCACCTCCTGCTTCAGCTCGTCCACGATGATCTTCCCCTCCAGGTCCTGCCCGGGGGGGTCACGGGGGGGCCTGATCCCACCTGGATCCCACCTGGATCCCATCCCAATCCCATCCCAATCCCTCCCCGATCCCGCCGCAGCCGGGGCTGGCTCAGAAACAGCCTCTGGGGTTTCCTCACGGACACGTCGGAGGCATCCGAGTGTTTCATCACCGACCCCCCCGGCCCAGGGGACCCCCCCAGGTATTCCAGAGGATCCCAGGGGATCCCAGATATCCCAGGGGACCCCCCCAGGTATTCCAGAGGATCCCAGAAATCCCAGGGGATCCCAAATATCCCAGGGGGTCCCAGGGTATCCCAGGGGACCCCCCCAGGTATTCCCAAATATCCCAGATATCCCACGGGATCCCAAGGGGGTCCCTCCCAGGTATCCCAGATATCCCAGAGTATCCCAGGGGACCCCCCCAGGTATTCCAGAGGATCCCAGAGATCCCAGGGGATCCCAGGGGACCCCTCCCAGGTATCCCAGAGTATCCCAGTTACCCCAGTTATCCCAGTGTACCCCAGTTATCCCGGTGTACCCGTTATCCTGGTGTATCCCAGTGTATCCCAGGTGTCCCTCCCAGTTATCCCGGTGTACCCCAGTTACCCCAGTGTACCCCAGTTATCCCGGTGTACCCCAGTTACCCCAGTGTACCCCAGTGTACCCCAGTTACCCCAGTTCCCCCAGTTCCCCCAGTTATCCCAGTTATCCCAGTGTACCCCAGTTCCCCCAGTTCCCCCAGTTATCCCAGTTCCCCCAGTTATCCCAGTGTACCCCAGTTCCCCCAGTTCCCCCAGTTATCCCAGTGTACCCCAGTTCCCCCAGTTATCCCAGTGTACCCCAGTTCCCCCAGTTCCCCCAGTTATCCCGGTGTACCCCAGTTCCCCCAGTTCCCCCAGTTATCCCAGTTCCCCCAGTGTACCCCAGTTCCCCCAGTTCCCCCAGTTATCCCAGTTCCCCCAGTTCCCCCAGTTACCCCAGTGTATCCCAGTTATCCCGGTGTACCCCAGTTCCCCCAGTGTACCCCAGTTACCCCAGTGTATCCCAGTTATCCCAGTGTACCCCAGTTCCCCCAGTCCCCCCAGTTCCCCCAGTTCCCCCAGTGTATCCCAGTTATCCCAGTGTACCCCAGTGTACCCCAGTTACCCCAGTTCCCCCAGTGTACCCCAGTTCCCCCAGTGTACCCCAGTGTATCCCAGTGTACCCCAGTTATCCCAGTGTACCCCAGTTCCCCCAGTTCCCCCAGTGTATCCCAGTTCCCCCAGTGTACCCCAGTTATCCCAGTTCCCCCAGTTCCCCCAGTTCCCCCAGTCCCCCCCGGCCCCGTACCCAGATTTTGATGCTGGGCCCGGTGGCAGCACAGAGCCAGTATCGGTTGGGGCTGAAGCAGAGGGCGTTGATCACGTCCCCCCCGTCCAGGGTGTACAGGTGCTTCCCCTCGTTCAGGTCCCACAGCATCGCCTGCCCGTCCTGGGGGCACAGGGGGGCACAGAGATCCAGGGGGGGCACAGAGATCATGGGGGGCACAGGGGGGCACACACATCCAGGGGGGCACAGAGATCATGGGGGGCCCCAAGAGAGTCCCCAAGAGCTCCACAGCATCGCCTGCCCGTCCTGGGGGCACAGGGGGGCACAGATCCAGGGGGGCACAGAGATCATGGGGGGGCCCAGGAGGGTCCCCAGAGCTCCAGGGGGTGGCCGGCCCCCCGTGGGGCCCCAGGGCCCCAGGGGGGCCCAAGAGGGTCCCCAACAGCTCCAGGGGGGCCCCAGAGATCCAGGGGGGTCCCAGAGATCCAAGAGGGTCTCTTAGAAGGTCCCCAGAGCTCCAGGAGAGTCCCCAGAGATCCAGGGGGGGTCCCTGGGCACAGGGGGGTCCCCAACAGCTCCAGGGGGGCCCCAGAGCTCCAGGGGGGTCCCAGAGATCCAGGAGGGCCCCAACAGCTCCAGGAGGGTCCCCAAGAGGGTCCTCAAGATCTCCAGAGGGGTCCCAAGAGCTCCAGAGGGGTCCCAAGAGGGTCCCCAACAGCTCCAGGGGGGCCCCCAAAAGGGTCCCCAAGAAGGCTTTTGGGGTGTCCCATCCCCTGGGATGAGGTTTGTGGGGTGTCCCACTCCAGGGTGGGGTTTTTTGGGGTGTCCCATTCCCGGGTGGGGTTTTTTGGGGTGTCCCATTCCAGGGTGGGGTTTTTTGGGGTGTCCCATTCCAGGGTGGGGTTTTTGGGGTGTCCCATTCCAGGGTGGGGTTTGTGGGGTGTCCCACTCCAGGATGGGGTTTTTTGGTGTGTCCCCCTCCAGGGTGGGGTTTTTTGGGGTGTCCCACTCCAGGGTGGGGTTTTTTGGGGTGCCCCATTCCAGGGTGGGGTTTTTTGGGGTGCCCCCCTCCCTTTTGGGGTCCGCAGGGCCGTACCTTGCCCCCGGAGGCGCAGAGGGAGCCGTCGGGGGACACGGTGACGGTGTTCAGGTACCCCGTGTGCCCGATGTGGTTGGTCTTCAGTTTGCAGTTGGCCAAGTTCCACACCTGGAAACGGGGACGGGACGGGTCAAAGGCGGCTCCTCGGACCCCAAATCCCGGGATTTTCGGGGTGGGATCCATCCCCCCCCCGTCCCAGAGCTCACCTTGACCAGCTTGTCCCAGCCACAGGACACGATGATGGGGTTGCTGCTGTTGGGGGAGAAGCGGACGCAGGACACCCACTCCGAGTGGCTCTCGTCCTGCGCGGGGAGAAAGGGTGGGAATGGGGCTGGAGACCCCCCTGGAATGGCCCCAGGGCCTCGTTCCCACCCCCCCTGTGTCCCACTGGACCCTCCCCGGGAGGGCTCAGCACCAAAAGGGGGTCAGGAAGGGGGGGGAGGCCCCGATTCCTGACAAAAAAACCAGTGGGATTGGGCCCAAAACCAGCGGGATTGGGCCTGAAATTAATGGGGTTGGGCCCAAAATCAAAGGGATTGGGCCCAAAATCAAAGGGATTGGGCCTAAAATCAAAGGGATTGGGCCCAAAATCAAAGGGATTGGACCCAAATCAATGGGGTTGGGCCTAAAATCAAGGGGATTGGACCCAAATCAACGGGACTGGATTCAAACCAACAGGATTGGGGCCAAACCAATGGGATTGAGGCCAAAATCAATAGGATTAAAACAGTCTTAAAACCAACTGGATTTGGTCCAAGAGCAACAGGATTTTATCCAAAGCCACTGGGATTGAACCCAAAATCACTGGAATTGGCCTCAAACTCAACAGGATCGACCCCAAACCCAAGGGGGTGACCCCAAACCCAACAGAGTTGACCCTAAACTCAACATGACTGACCCCAAACCCAACGGGGTGACCCCAAACCCAACGGGGTGACCCCAAACCCAACAGGGTGACCCCAAACCCAACAGGGTTGACCCCAAACCCAATGGGGTGACCCCAAACCCAACGGGGTGACCCCAAACCCAACGGGTTGACCCCAAACCCAACAGGGTGACTCCAAACCCACCAGGGTTGACTTGAAACCCAACGGGGTGACCCCAAACCCAACAGGGTTGACCCCAAACCCAATGGGGTGACCCCAAACCCACCAGGGTTGACTCGAAACCCAACGGGGTGACCCCAAACCCAACAGGGTTGACCCCAAACCCAACGGGGTTGACCCCAAACCCACCGGGGACTGACCCCAAGCCCCCCAGGCCCCCCGACCCACCTGCACCGTGTACTTGCAGACCCCCAGGGTGTTCCAGAGCTTGATGGTCTTGTCCCGGGAGCCGGACACGATCTGCCGGTTGTCGGACGAGAAGGCCACGCTCAGCACGTCCTTGGTGTGCCCCACGAAGCGCCGCGTCGTCGTCCCCCTGCCGCGGGGAGAGGGGTCAGGAGACACCCAGGAAGGGTCAGGAGCCACCCAGGAATGGCCAGATCCCACCAGGA